CCCGTCAGGACATGCTTGGCCACTCCAGCCTCCCACTTCTTCCAAGGCAGGCTGGATGGGACTTCTGGGCAGGGTTCAGGTGGATCCTCAACAGTTCCACTGCCCTGGCTGAGTAGGAATGGCTGTCATTGACACAAACCCACCAAGGAGCAACCCAAGCATGCCTTACCAGATGCCCCAGCAATTCCACTGCCAGATATATACTCCAAAGAACTGAAAACAGGTGTTCAAACTAAAGCTTGTACACCAATGTCCACCGAGGTCCGAGTACCACAGACAATCCATGGAAACAACTCAAATGCCCATCACCCAGTGAACAGATAAATAAGATGTGGTCTACCAGTGCAACAGCTGCTGCTGTTCGGTACCACTGACTTGGCCCCAACTCATAAGGACCCTACGCCCCACAGGGCAATGGACACACAAAAAGGAATGAGGTTCGGATGTGGACAGTCTCTGAAAATGCTATGCTAGGTGACAGCAGCCAGGCACAAAAGGCACATGCTGCCTGATTAATTTATTTTTTTGCCTGATTAATTTAAAGGAAAGGTCTCAAAACTCGCCCTTCTGTGAAGTCGATTCCGAGTCATAACAACTGTACAGGACAGGGTAGAACCGCCCTTGTGGATAACCAGCCTCATGTTCCTCTTGTGGAGTGGCTGGTGGTTTTGAACTGCAGATTTTGCGGTTAGCAAGGCATAACCCACTACAAATCACTGGGTGAATCCAGAGACAGAAAATGTTTGGCAGGGGCTGGGGCCAAGGGGAGTGGGAGGGGGACTGCTTGATGGATTTGGGGCTTTCTTTTCGGGGGTGCTGGAAATGTCCTGGAAGCAGACAGGGGTGGTGGGTGCACACCATGATGGATGTACTAGAAGCCTCTGGGGTGTGCACTGTCGGATGGCAAAGTTTATGTTTGGTGGATTGCACCTCAATGTTTTCAAACGATAGTTACTAGGGGAGAATGAGCCAGTAGGGTGCGTGGCCAGGGACAGAGAACTGGGGCTGCAGCACTCTCAGATGGCGCTGCAGGCCTGAGAGAAAGCAGGAAGCACTTAGGTGAGTTCAGGTGTGTGCTGTTACCCGGCGGGGGAGCTCTCCGGCTCAACTCACCAGTGCAAACCGATGGCCAAAGCTTATCCACTCCTTCTCCACGAGCGCCTCGAAGCCTTCAATGGTCCGGTAGTAGCTGTCCAGCATCAGCATGGCCAAGGCCGTGAGCTGGGCCGTGCGGTCCCAGCCGTCGCTGCAGTGCACCAGCACTGAGCTCTTCCCCGATTCGATCTTGTCAGCGATTCTAACAGCCCCAGCGAGCAGCGTCTAGGACAAGCAGACACACTGCCTTCCGATTACAGCACCACCTAATTCTGGGCAGCACTTGGGAAGCTCAGGCCGGTAAACAAGATGACACATGCTGCAGATCACAGGAAGCATTGGCATTGCTTATATATGCAATTCATAGGAAGTAGGGGGCTTTCCGTAAGGCCCCTCCCCCACGCTTTGAGAACCTGATCTGAAGTGTCTCTGCTCATGTTTCTGCCTTGTAAATCACACACACACCACCACCACCACCACCACCACTCCCTCCCATCCCACCCCACACCCCGGACCAAAGAGATGCTCATTTCTTGTTCCTAGAAACTAAGATAGGTGGCATGCACACTCAGCCCCCTGCTCGCCACAGTGCAGAGCAGCCTGGCTGTTTACCCGTATGTACTCCAGCCAGTGCGTCCCGTCCACATTGGACAGCCAGTGGGCCTCGTCGATGGATGGGTAGACAATCTCCTTCAGCTTCCGGAGGGACTCTCTCATCACGTGGATGTTGTGGATTTCCAAGAACACGAGCTCGGCATTTGGGTAAGCACTCTCACTTTCGTACCCTCCACCCTTGGCCTGTTCCAACCAGAGAGATGGGGGCTGTCACTGTCACCGGAGCTTGAGTGGAGCTGCTGCGCTGGGTGGCCTAGGGCTAGCAGCTACAGACTAGTCACCGCCACCACGCCAGATCCGGCGACCACTGTCCCCACCCTCAGTTCTGGAAGCCTGTCTGCCCTGGGCTTCCACTCCAGAAGCATTCGGTGTGCACAGGTTCTGTACCACTAACCCAAACCAAAAAGCTGGTCTGTACCACCAACCCAAACCAAAAAATGTCCCTTTGTAGGGGGTTAAATTAAAAACAACCCTGTGGGAAAATGGAATGAAACGAATGTGCCGATGAAATTCTGGGAGCCCTCCTTGTATAATGAAACAACCCAGGGGGACGGGGCTCACTGAGTGGCCATCTTAGCACAGAATCTGCCCAGAAGTGGCTCGTCTCGGCTAGAGCTCAACATTCACCACATGTCTGTGACAAGGATGTGGAGAAACTGGGACACCCCTTCTGAGAATGAAACACCCAATTAGCCGTGTGACCCAGCAATTCCGCTCCAAGGTCCACACCCCAGAAATGAAAGCAGGGACTGGAGAAGCCCTAGCCCCAGCAGCCGAGAGTATCACCGGGTGACTGGGTAATCAAAGGTGGTCTCGCCAGACGCACGGCACGTTATTCAGCCATAAGGAGACGTGAATGCGCCTTGAGGACCCTATGCTGAGTGAAAGCCGCCAACGCGAAAGGACAACTAGAGCGTGAGCCCACTTACAATCCCTCTCTAGGACGGGAGATGCAGAGCCCAGCGAGGCTGAGAGGACAGGGCAGCAGGACGTAGGGCTCTGGGGATCCTGAGTTTCTGGTTGGGGTGACGGTAGCACAGCCTCATAAATGCACTTGGATGGCAAAAAAGTTGTACACTTGAAGATGGTAAAAGTGGTGTTATGTGAATTTTACCTCGATTTAAAAAGGAAACCAAAAACTCAAACGCCTCATGTGGGAGTGGGGAGCGGGGAGGGAGGGGAAAAATGAGGACCTAATGTCGGGGGTTTAAATGGAGAGAAAATGTTTTGAGAAACGATGTACAAATGCGCTTTACACAATTGATGTGTGTATGGATTGGGATAACAGTTGTATGAGCCCCTAATAAAATGTTAAAAAAGAAAAAAAAAAAAAGAAAGAGGAAAATGTTCTAAAATTGATTGTGATGATAACTGCACAACTTTTAAAATTAAGATTGAACTATTGAATTTTATGTTATGTGAATTATATATCAATAAAACAGTTTTTAGAAAAGAAAAAAAAACAACTCAAACGCATCTACGAGGCTTCATGGCGCCTTCTGGAGCGAACTGTATTGGTAGCCCTGAGCTCCTTGCAGGCCATTCGGTCTGGCCTCAAGAGAACCCGAGCCCGCTTCCTTTGACTGGTCGGCTCTCAGGCAGCCTTTGACTTTCTTTTCCCCCAGAGGGCTGGGGCTAGCCCTGCTACTCCTGCAGTCAGCTCAGCCTTGGGGGTTCGGGGTCAGGTGGCTAACAGCATGCCAGAATCACTCATTTCTCTTTCTTGCTCTTCTACAAGTCTTCTCCCACCACGTGCTTGTCTTTTCTGAGGCCCCTCCACCCCCACGCTCCAGCAAGGACATAGCTGGGTCCCCTTTCCCCTCTCTCCTGCCTGAATAGAGAGCTCCAGGCGCCTGTTCTCTGTGGCCCATTACAGACTAGGTATTCATGTTGGTTTTTATCCAGAGCTCCATCTTCTGACGAGTATTTGTCCCATGGACCTTTGGCAGCTTCCAGACAACAGATTGTAAACGTGTTTGCCTGGTGAGTACCAATGGGGAGCGCTAGCTGCAGGCTGCTCTGGAGTGGGGGGGGGGTGAGGGGCTCCTCCTGCAGGGGGTAAGGGCTCAACAGGCTGTTGGCACAGCACGCCTATGTATAGATAGTGCAAGAGTGGGCAGCAGGACGCACCTTGTTTGTGTCGGCCACGCTGCTCTGCCGGGCATCGAAGATGATGAGCTTGTGGGACTGAGCGTTTGCATCCATGATGGTTTGCAAGTATTTCTCATCTTCTTTGCAGCGTTTATCATTCGGCCCCACAAGTGGCTGGCTGCACCGGGTAATTGTTGCTTGACTTTCTGGGTGGATCCACGACAACACCTAGTATTTTGACCCCACAATCATTAGTCTAGTTCCTCAAACAGTACAAGCTTTGCTGACTATGTAGTAGAAATCGGTTTCCTGCTCAGTTACAGCCTTTCCTGTACATAGTCCTCAAAGGTGAGGGTAGGGCTGGGGCAATCACAATGTTCTCATGGCCAAGGGACTCTCCATTTGGGGTCAAATGGAAGCAAGTCTGACTAGTCTTAAAATCCCCTCATCCCCAACAACTCAATGGCTCATAGTAAAACCAGTACTAAGTCAGGAACTTACTGAAATCTAGCCTTATCCCGATTTGACCCATGGGTTATAGATTTCTCTTGTCATTTAGAAACACCTCCTGTGTCTTAAGAATGCCAGATATGGCAGGGGAGAACAAGCTACAGCTGATCCTCTAAGCCACCCATCTGCTTCCAGCGGCCAGTGACTCAGGATTAGACCAGCTGCATCCTCTGGGCTCAACAAGCATTCACTCCTTGCAGGCTTCTTGGTTTCTTTCTGGGATAGTCTCCCTCCCAGGCTGCGAGAGCATTGTACTCAGCATCTGACAGTGTGTACTGCCTCCAGGAGGACTCGTTGAAAGCGGGGATGGGGCTGTCGCAGAAACAGCTTGCCGATGCTTTCCTTTGGCTCCTTGGTTCATCTCTACTATATTCTGAGGACAGAACTTGACAGCCAACTACATGAATCTTAAGTTACCCTTGTACTGAGACGCCACGGCGCATCAAGCGGTTTACAGTGAGGAAGCTCCATGGGACCAAAGGTATTTTGACATCTTTAAGCTGGTCTGCCTACTTTGCTCTTAGTTCACTCATGTCTTGTCTGGATTGCATTTCCCCGTGCTACATTGAAACCAGTAGACATTTCTATGCCAGTGACAGTGTTTGCTACTTACAGGGACTCTGCCTTTGGCTCTAAAGGCTGCCACTTTGGAAAGGTCATCATCTTTTACACTCGTTGGCACAACAATGATGGCAGGGTAGCTGTCACAGAGCTCATAATTACTGTTGATTTTGGATATTTTCCAACTCTCATTGGGCAAACCCTGACAAGCATTTGAAGAGAAGGGCAAGAAGGAAAACAAACAGACTGTAAGTCTTTCCAAAAGTACAAAGCAGGAACCACACCTATTTCTGATTTCCATCTAAAATCCATTTAGGATTTGTCATTGTTTACCCCTCAAAAGTCTAAAAGTATAGTTATGTACCCATTCTTCTTAACCAAACTCACTGCCATCGAGCCAATGCTGACTCGTGGCGACCCTACGAGACAAGGTAGGCCGGTCCCTGTGGATTTCCCAGACTGTAACTCTGTGGGAGTAGAAAGCCTCTCTGGTGGTTTCGAGTTGCTGACTTTGTGATTGGCAGCCCAACGTGTAACCATGATGCCACCAGGGCTCCTACCCTGTTTTCCTAGTCATTTCTAAAACTTTAATGACGCATGACAATTCCCAGACCCAACTGAAAAATGAAAATTATACACCAGAAGGTGAGGTGAGTCTTGAAAATTCAGTATCTTATCTTTCATGTAAGAATAAGGAGAGCCTGTTTTAAGGATAAGTACAGTCTTTTAGGGCAAAAAAAGGAGATCTCTTACAAATATCTACAACATCAAACGTTCCTATAGTAAATACAAAGTAGAGACAAATGCCATAGAAAGAAGGTCTCCTTGGAATCACAGGAAACTGATGACATGTTAAAGAGGTCCCTAGTAGTGGGGCAATCGGGAAAGCTTATTTACTCACGCTGTGTGGCTAATATCAAACTGAGGCCACTGGTTTCCATCTTTACTCATCAACTCTTTGCCAGAACATCTCGTATAAAACCATCTTGCAGATCCGGTTTCAAAATCCCTGTCCTTGTATCCCACTCACCTTCTGGACAAAGGCTGAGCCAACTGGCCCAGCGAAAGGTCTGGGTGGAGAGCACTGAGGAGACGAAGGACGCCAAACCTCAGTCAGTCAGACTCATGTACATGCTTTGATCAGGCTCCCTTCTCCATCACATGCCTAGCCGTCTCTTTTAGTTTTGGCTTGAAGGACTAGACATTTATTTTCTCACAGTTAAAGAGCCTAGAAGTCTGAAAAGATCCTCAACCTGGAGGGTGGCAGAAATGATGCAGGCAGAGAAAGAGGCTGGGAAGATTCCAAGGGTTCAAGGGAGCAGAGGAAAACATGGAAATATACACAAGCCTGCAACAACTGTGATCGATGACTACATATAAGGCTGGACATACAGGCTGAAGGTGAGTGGGAACATAAGCCTGACTGTATACATAAGTTTGTACAGTGGACTGACCATGACTGTGGGGGAGCAAACAATGAACACTTCTGAGACATAGCCAAACACCTTCAAGGAATGAGCTGCTGGGTCCTGGGGACTCAGGATCATAGTCTCAGGGGACACCACGGTTAATTGGCGTCACATAGTCCACAAAGAATGTTCTACGCCCTGTTTTGGTGAGTAGAGTCTGGGGTCTTAAAAGGTCATGAGCAGCCATCCCATCTGTGGTGCAACACTGGTCTCTTCCTGTCTGGAGAACAGAAGAATGAAGAAAATGGAAGGCACATGGAGACCATGAGTCCAATGGATTCATGGACAGGTGACAGTCAGCCTCCACAACACTGAGATCAGAACTAGATGGTGGTTGGCTACCACTACCAACAACTCTGAAAAGGATCACATCAGAGGCCCTATGTAGAGGGGGAGGGAAATGTAGAACAAACTGAAAATCATCCAAAGACCAAGTTAGCTGATTGGATACAGACTGGCCCTTGGACACAGTTCTAGAAGAGTAAAACTGAAACTCAGAAAATCCCACTGAGATCTGCACACCTCACCACAGTCCATCATTTGAGATGAGAAGGGCAGCACTTACTCAAGGACCAAATTCAGAAGGATTAGGAAAGGAGGAGGTATGGAAACCTGGGGGAAGTAGAATAAGTGATGTTGGAATAGGGGGGATTACAATCGATGATATGAAACAAAATGTGCATGACTTATGCAGTGGAAACTGAACTGCTCTGTAAACCTTCACCCAATTCATAATAAGCTAAAAGTGAAATAAAATACAAGATGCCCAACCTATACTTTTCAGTCTGATAAGTATCATACCTTACCTGTCTCTTATATTCAGATATTGGATCATAAACTTTCCAGCCGTTAGTTGGAAATTTTTCTCTGTAGTTGAATGCAAATAGCATCTGGATAGTAAAACACAAAACAAAAAACCAGCAACACAGAATACATGCAAGTCAGTATTTGTATTTTACATCAACACCCTCAATTGTTGAGCTTTGCATTTGGATCTGAACAGAGTGCATCAGTAAACTGATTTTCAATCAGTAAATTGCGAAATAACAACGGGCAGTTTTCTTTAATCGCCACACAAAGAATGGAGCAATTTCAAACACACTAGCATTAGCTACCAAAAGGGAAAACACAGAGCCAAGGGCGGCCTTGAGGCAGAGGACTAGTGAAATACAAGATGTTTGGACCCGTACACAGCCATGGCCCGGCGGTTCATTTGGTACATTTACCTGTCCATTGGAAAGAGGGAACGCATGTTTGCTGAGGTTTTCAAATATCCCCAGTTTACTCTGTTCATCCAGTTTATACGCAAGTCGCAGGTTCCGCATATCCTGTGAAATAATTAGTGAAACTCATGTATTCAATGTGTACAGAAGTATCTAGGAGAAACACCATTCCACAAGCTGATGCAGAACACACACACACACACACACACACACACACACACACATCTATATGTATTTTTTGTTTCTTGGTTTATTTTTTATTCTTATCTCGCTCCAACTAACAAAAGGCAATAAGTTAAAAAAAAAAAAAAAAAGGAAGCGAGGAGACTGGAACCCTGGGGAACATGGCAGCGGGTGAGAAACTGTCGCAGGAAACCAGAAGGTAGTGGGTACACCTGTGGTGTCACTGCTTCCCCGGCCAATGCTTAAAGCAGCAGTGTTTCTCAACCTTGTCATGCCTACGCTCCCTTTAGTGACACGCAAGCGTCTCATTCTTCTTTCACTGTGTGAGATTTGAAAAGAAAGAAGACCAGCGACACAGTAAAGCCATATTAATGGGGGAACTGAAGAAGGTATTGCTGGAGCTGTCATTTATAACAGTGAGAGAAGGGGCAAAACTCAATGGGGCTGATGCGATTAGTGACAGGAACCCAGTCCTGCAAGCTAGAAGGATCTTTAACCATTCTGGAGGCAGGAGCTCTTTCCTGGGGGCTGTATTAAGCTCTCGCCTTTTGTAAACCATTGCCTGAGGTAAAGTCATTGGGCCTAACACATCTCAAAGAAGAGCATTTCTTCAAAGAGTATTCATGACTGAAGCGGCTACATGAGGCGACCCCACCGATAGTGAGCCTGGCTCAAGGTGAAAATTCTAACAACACGATCAAGAAACATGGCCACGTTTTTGACACACACAAGTTAAAGATTGCTGTTGACCCTTTAGGAAAGGCTTTGAGCAATCACTACTCTGAAGAAAAGTGCAGCAAACTGGCAAAAGGTGGGGATCGATGCTCACAGTTAAATTTCATGGCACACAGGCTGACATCAGCACTGAGCTTATGGGTCTGCGTTAGCTGGGAATGCTGGTGGAAACCACAAGACTTACTTCAACAATTCTACGATGGCTTGAATTTGTTGGGGTTAAAATTTGGAAGGAGGGTTCTCTGTTCTGAAAACATCTGAACCCTTACAGTTTAAGTTACTCTGTCTAGAAAGAATGAGTCAGAGAACAGGCCACGCTGACTGTCCCGTCAGTTACTATTGGTGTTTGTGTTATACCTTGCACACAATCTCTATACCGCAAGAGTTGTCTCCATGGCTCTGCGCGCCAATCTTCTCCACTCGGCTGATGACTCCAAGCGGAACATCCAGGATGAAATGTGGGTCCTAGGTTTGAAAATGAGGGTGGTTGTCGATTTGATGGCAGTCAACAGTTTTCATATGGAAGTTTTCACTGGGTAAAAAGTATGTTTGTTTATCTCCCGCTCCCTTTGGCCCCAGCTAAGAAGCTCAAGACGAACATATCGAGACTACAATTAAAATTCTCCTCCTAGATCAACAGGTACTTGCACAGCCCTCCCCGCCCCAAGGGCAAAAATCAGTTGATAAATGTGCACATGTTAATACTCACCTCACCCTCTGGTTATCTTTGAGTGGTGGGATTTCAAAGGCCCTTTGATTTTCTCCTTCAGACTCTTCTGAACGTTTTGACACTTACCCTTTCTACATTTTTGAAGTACATCTTGAAGTCTGTCACTGTTAGGGTGCCACTCACTGCTCCCAGGAACGGGCAGATGTACATGACGTCTTTCACTAAAAGACAGAGTCCCCAAGTAGCAACTTGTGCTGTGGATGTGTGCTTCAACAAAGCCCAACAGGAGTTTCCAAATCACTATCCCTGATTCCAGTTTTCTAGCAGTTTTAATAGTTAGGGAACTGTGCCAAATTATGACTTGACTGTAATTAAAGACATATTGGTGAATAGTCTTCAAATAAAATCTGAAAACATGAAAAAAGTCTGATTTGTTACATAGTGAGGTTTTAAGTAATAGGTCTCATAAGAAGTTAAATTTTGTTATTTGTCCCCAGGTGGTTAATACTTCTCAGGGCGATAAATGAATCATTTAAAAAACACATTAATTAAATTCAGAGGACCCCGAGTTACCACTTTTATAAAGCACTGCTATTGAAAACAAACTACAGCTAAAGACTGCAGCTTCATGGACCCCCCAAAGGTCATTTGATAAATGACAGAAACTGGAACCACTGCAACAAGGCAGAAAAAGACCTTTTGCTTTAAATTCCTTACCAGCCTCCATTTAATTTTCTCTTTTCTTTTTGTTAATACCAATCAAGTGCTGCACATATTTGATTCCTATGAATCTTGGAAGAAGGTCACACCTGCCACTAAGATACATCATCTTCACTCTTCCAAAAGACTCATTCCCTTCTGGGAAGCTATGCAGTGACAGATGTGTCTGGGTAAGGCAATTAAAGGGAGTGATTGCCCTTCAGCCAACTTTTCAAACACTTCCTTGGAACTGTTCTATAACTCAGTATGTACTGAGCACCACCTATTGCCAGGCATTGGGCAAAATGCAGTGAATCAAGATAGCGTTCCTGTTCCGTGATTTGTGCCACACACTATAAAGAATGCCATGTTCCAAATGCTCTAAGAATAATGTGGACACTGTGGGATGAAAGCTCAGACAAGGATCAATGAAGCTTAGCAGGAAAAGGTGAAGTGAAGTGGGGAGGGGAGGAGAGAGCAGCACCACTCATGGGGGCAGCATCTGTATGTTAACTGTTAGAGACCAATGTGGCCGGACCAAAGGGGCAAGAGGAGCATGAGCATGAGCCAGAAGAGTGGCAGATAGGGGGCCAGGAAGAGCCTCCATGGGAAGAAAAGATATTGTTACCATCAGTATCTGTAAAGACAACTGGTTGCTTAAACAAAAATAACCACAGTGTAGAGTTTACAGTTTCCGTAGGAAAGTAAAATGCATGCTGACGACAGGCTACAGCTGAGAGGAAGATATGTCAAAATATTACCGTGGGATACTTCTCCTGTACATGAAGTGGCTTCACTTAAAGACAGACTGCCCTCATTTAGAGAGAGAAAGCAGGGACTATAATAACAAAACCAAGAGCTATGGCTAATGTGCAAATACAGGAAATAAAACAGAATCTTTAAACCTAAAATCTTTTAAACCAAAAGCAGACCCAAAAGAGAAATCAACCAACCAACCAACCAAGAAAAGAACAAGGGTCAATAGTGGTTGCTTTGTATCTTATCATCTAAATCACTGCACAAAATGTAAATGATCTAAAAATTTTGAGTGAAATGTAGAGATTGTCAGGTTGGATATAAAAGTAAGAACCAACAATATGTGGGTTCACCCCAAAGTTCATGGAATAAATTTTATCATCTTTGGATTCCATTTTTCCACGAACTTTTTGAAGCTCCCTTGTATATGACCTATAAGAAACCCACTTTATGCATAAAGAAACATATAGCTTGTAAAAATGAAAGGAACTATGTATACCATACTAATATACTAATACTAATGAAAACAAAGTTGGAGAAGCTATATTACGATCAGATGAGTATAATACAGAATATTACCAGGGGTAAAGGTCATGTCGTAATGGTAAAGGAATCAATTTATCAGAAGGACATAACCATCCTAAATGTTTATATATCCACTAGTTGCAAATTAAAATCAGCAAAAGTGATAGAACCACAAGAAGGAATAGACAGATTCACAATTAAAACTGGAGATCTCAAAGTCCTTCTCTCCATAACTGATACAAAGCCCTAGAAATCAGCAAGACTAGCATTTATAGACCACTCCCCACAACAACAGCACAACAGACAGTCTTCCCAAGCACTCACCGCATGTTTACCAAGAGATCATAGTCGGGGTCAAGCAAGACTCAATAAATTTAAAAGGATTTGTGTTCTAAACCTATGCTTTCTGACCACAAGGGAATGAAATTAGAAATCAACATGAGAAAAAAATTTGGGGAGTCACAAATATGTGGAAACTAAATAACAGACTGATAAAAAACCCACGGGTCAGAGAAGAAGTCAAAAAGGGAATTTGAAGGTATTTTGAACTCAATGAGACTAGAAACCCAGCCTGACTCACCGCAAGCCTACAGGACTGGGTAGAAGGGCCTTTTAGGGTGTCAGACACTTAAACCTTTACAGGAGCAGACATCCTCATCTTGTCCCCATGGAATGACTGGTGCGTTTGAATCACTGGCCTTGTGGTTAGCAGCTCAACACGTAGCCCACGGTGCCACCAGGGCTCCCTCAAAGCAGCATGCAAGGGGGAATTTAAATGCCAATATAGTCGAACACAGCAAAGCTAACAAGCCAGTCACTATCACTTCCATCTTAAGATTAGAAAAAGAATGTATTAAAACCACAGGAAGCAGAAGACAGGAAATAATAAATTTGATTACATAGATTCCTGGAAAGATGCAAACTACCAAAGCTCAGCCAAGAAGAAAAACTAATTTTCAAAATAAATTTGTAGTTAGAATTTTCCCACCAGGAAAACTCCAGGTCTAGATGGTGTCATTGGTGAATTGCAGCAAACATTTAAGGAAGAAATGAAAACTCTGCCCAAAACTCTGGAGAAGAGACTAGTTCTCAATTCACTCCATGGGGTCCCTGATGAACAAATTTCTAAAGGGCATCCGGAAGTAAAATCCAACAACATGTATACAAGATAATACATTATGGCCAACCAGTTTATCCTGGGAAAACAAAGTTAACATCACGAAGTGAAATCAATCACCATATTGAACGCCTACAGAGGAAAATAAGGCATGATTAGATCAATGGATACAGAAAAAGCATTTGATGACATGTAGCATCTGACGAACAAACAGATCTATGTAGGAGGAAGTACAGCCAGATGCTCCTTAGAAGTGAGGATGGGGAGGCAGAGCTGAATTGACAACCCAAATCCCAAGGATGTCACCATCTTTGAGAGGGGCACCACTCCTTTCAACTCAGTAGCTATGCCACATACACACACATACAGCCCTTGTTTTTTAAAAGGGAGAGTACGTTTCTGGCAGGTTTTGTATCTGTAACTTTTCCCATTCTGGTTAGCATTCTGGCTCAGCAAAAATTTTACAACTCAGGTCAGTTTTGGTATTGTTTCATTGGCCAGGATTGAACTGGGCTGAACCGGTTCAAAGGCCTGACAAAAACTGCTCTGGTAAAGGTCAGAAATTCCCTTCTTGTAAATACATCATTCAGAAAGCGGCCCAGGGTGGCGCTGGATTTCCCAGAGAAGGCTCAATGAGAGACGTTAGTGGAAGACCCTCAGGAGGGAGGAATCCCTGAGGAAAGGTGTGGTCAGCAGGGCCCAGAGCCACAGACTAGGACATTGGGCAGGAGTAGTTATCTGGAGGTTCTGGTGAGACTGTCTCAAGCACTCTTGACAAAGGTGACCATCCTCTGAGACTAACACCCAACACGAAGGGGCCCACCTCAGCTTTCAGCCAAGCAAACTTGACCGCCCAAATCCACCCAGCAATTGGAAAGAGGAAAATGCCACGCCCAGTTAGCTGCCCTTCCCACCACCAAGGCACAATGGTGTCCCTGCTGAAACACATGTGGGGGACCTCACGCCCTTACTCGGAGAATACAAGGTGGCAACACATGCCCATTTCTGGCACTAAAATCGGCATTTGGGCATCTAGAATGTCTTTGCCAAGGTCTGAAAATGGTGAGATACATGTGACATGGGGTTTCTATGGACTCATTGTCCTTCCAGTGAAGGATTCCCAGAGCAGTGACCCGAAAGCATGGCGACGGTTTCATCAGGCAAAGGCCAGGCACCTCTTCTCTTGGTATTGCCACCTGCTGTCCAATCAGCGCAGAAGGTGATCCTATCCGGACAGCCCCCAGGTACAAACAAGACCCCAAACTGTGTCTTTTAGAAGTTGTCAGGGCTGCCAAATGGTTCTGCTTGGCTCAGTCATGGCCCAGCACTGCAACAGACTCCAATTCTAAGTTACGGTGAACCACAAAGAGAGCTAGAACAGGTAACATTATGAGGAAACCTCAGGCATAGTGCACGGTTCTGAGCAGCGCTACCCTGCTCAAAGATGGCAACTAATGGCACCACTGTGGGTGTCGCTTTCCTACAGTCCTGCCCAAACTCCGTCTCCTGCATCAGACTTCTGACTTAACTCATGCCGCCTTTGCCCAGCCTCCTCTTCCAGGGATTGTCCCTGGGATTCTTCCCATTCTGGATATGCCAAATTGGTCAAACTGTTCATGTTTGGCTTTTTCTGCCAAGGCAAAGGGTAAGCAGGGGCCATCTGCACAGTCTCCTAACTTTCAGGGCCCTGAAAACACTGATAATGCCCACGGGCCCCAGTCCATTTTCCCTTCATTAAATTGGTCTAACAGACCTTCCTCCCGTGGCTCGCAAGTTTGCGCACTCAACTTACCAATGGCCTTGATGGATTCTCCTGGGAAAAGGGGAGCCTCTTCCATCTGTGCCAGCTTATTCCCATCCCTGAGAGCCTGGCAAAAACAAACAGACCAAAACAAGAGTAAATCTCATTTCCACCTGCTTTCCTGCGATGAACTGTGCTCTGGTTACGAGGCGACAGAAGCATGCAGTACTTCCCCCACCCCACGACAATGTCAAGCTCAGTATCACAGAACACCATGCGGCAGAGGCTAGCTGAGTGCTATCACGATTCACGTCTCACGGTTAGAAAGCACGGACACAGAAGTGGCTGGACATGGCACATACTGTAATCATTACACAGACAGCGATCAGGTGCCTCCAGAATTTGGAAATAGGGTCAGAAAAAGGTTACCTGCTGAGCGGGAAACCAATACAAATCAAACCCACATTCGATGCACGTGCTGACCTAGCTGGAGCAGTGACCCAGCCCAGGCGAGGGCGGGCGGATCATCTGCCTCATCATCAAAGGAGGCTCGGCTTTCTTAGGCTTCCTGGTGAGCCCACACTGAGATGATGGCTGGGAAACCTCTAACTCAAACTCACTGGTCTCAGAATACCCTCCTCTCAGGCCACAAGCAGATCTAAAGAAGGGAGCCAACTGGCACTGCAGCCAGCTGTGTATGTGTATGTGTGCATGTGCATGTGGCCCCAAGGGGATGTGGAGGGTGGGCTTCTGCATGTTCTCCAGGCTAGGCCACAAAGGCGCCTAGGCTCAGCTGGCAGACCAGCCTTTCCATCATTACCTTAGGGAGGGGCTTGTTTACTTTGTGCAGAGTCGGTTACAGTGAAACAGGTGTGTGTGTGTGTGTGTGTGTGTGTGTGTGTGTGTGTGTACACGTGTGTGTGTGTGTGTACACACCTCAGAGGTGGTGAGGAAATGGGGCTCTGGAAATTCCAAGGCTGGAGGCAGGAGCCTGAACTCGGGGCTCATCCAAGGTGCTGCCACCGCCTGAGATCAGCTAGGTAACGCGGTCACCTTCTCCTTGGCCTCTCTGCTAGGACACGCCAAGAGTGAAAAATAGGGTGATCAAAACCCCAGCAATGCCTCCACTATGTGGCACAGAGCGTGCATTTCCCACAGAGACGGGCACCGCTCTTCTTTTTGAACAAAGCAGGGGGAAGCCTGGATTCAAGGAAAGGAGCGAGACCTGGGTCTTTCGTGTGGCGATGCACACCGTATCCACAAGGGATCACCCTGCTTCCTCCCAGGTCGCCTGCCAGCCTCGGGAGGCTGGGAGCAGTGGCTCAGGTCAGGTGACACTCGGTATTCAGCACAATTCTGTGACTGAACCAAAATGCATACAATCGATGCCTTTGGCAGTCCTAACTGAAACGTCAAAAAAATAACAAGCTCTTCATTATTTTTCGGTATTACAAGGATTTCAGTCAGCTTCCTTAAAGAGACTGAGGTCAATTTATATAAATTGAAATAAATTTTATAAGAAAAATTCCAAATACAAATAGCAATACTGAATACAAAGCTAAATACTCATTAGGGGTACACATGAAAGGGCTTCAAAAAGCTCCAGAGAAAACTCCATGATCTTTCCAATCCATTTTCCCATAAACTTTTTGAATCTCTCCCTGCTCCCCCATTCCGCCCCCACCTTATGTCAGTTCTCCTGGGAGGGACCACGTGCCTGCTGGCTCAAATATGCACATTTTGAATCCTTCCACATAGGCTCCCTTTTCACCTCTAAACAAGGTGTTCAGCTTGGAGTGTTTATTTCAGGTTGGCTTTGAAGAGACTTCAGGGAGAGAACACACATGTGAAGGGCCAGGGAGAGCCACTGAGGCGTCCACTTCTATACTCAATCTGATACGAAAGACCTCTTTCCCTCAGGAGAGCATGCAATGAAATTTCAGCTTTTACATTTCTAGTTTTTAGGAAGATCAGCTTTAAGAAAAGCCTTCATTTCAAAGTCTGCTGTCCTTAATTTATAGCCTTGAAATTAGTGCCTCATTTTATGGTCTGTTTACCAAGTGAGCTCAATTGATAGCAGAGTTGGAGATTCCTTCAAATGCTATGTTGCAAAAGCTTATGTTAGTGGCTAGGTATTCTCATCTATTATATAGGCTTAAATCCCTTAATCCGAATGTAACTTGTAGCTAAAAATAAAGGGGGAGAGACCCTTAAAATATGATACTTACTAAAGCAAACTATTTTAATCCACTGACTCTGGAGGTAGGGGGAGGGGTGTGCTCACTTTAAGCTTCATAGCAAACATGTTAAAGCCTTCAACCCAGGACTCGCCATAGTGTTGTGCATGGGAAAGCACTGTGAGTGAGGCCATTCTGAAAACTGCAGGCTCTCGAGACAAAAGCGGAAGAGCGCATGTTTCTCTCCCAGTGGCCATGGCATGTTGGCTTGGAAACCCTGTACCATCCTCTGAGCATGCATGTTTGGTGAGACATAAATGGTGAGTGAGAGAAACCCCTCATACATAGTACCTGAGTCTAGGAGATGTGTTTCAGATGATAAACTATCAGAATAAAACAAAGAAACCATTTTTGTTTTTTTAAAGGTTGTATTTCTCTGCTTTCCCCCATAAGAGGTTCATTGGGTTAAGGAAATATAGCTAGCTGGAGTATAGGAGCTTAAGAAAAGAGCTTTTAAAGACGGATTTTTGGTGAGTACAGTAGATTCCCTTTATAAAGCTGTGTTAGGAGAGGGGACGCACGCTTGTGTGACATGAAGCTTTTATTGCAACAACTACGTTGCACAGGACATGATTTGACCCTTGATTTATCCAACTGATGCACAGCATGGCCAGAGAAGGGGATCTGCTCGTGAGTTCAATCCCAGCTGGGCACATACCCATCCTCTCACTGTCTTTGCTCAGTGCTGCCAATGGAGGCATCGCCTCCACACCTGCTAGCCACCCTCTGCGTCCAGCGGGGGTCCATCAGCACCCTCAACATGTCCTCCACGGCTCCCTGGTTTCTCCATCGCTCCACATCACTAGTGCTGATACCCCACCCCCACCCCCATTTCTCCAAATCTAAGCCACCTGGTGGAGATTTTGTAGCATGCCTGCATAGCAGAAGCAGTTGGCTTTCAAGTGAGCCTGGAGGGCTTCAAGAGCACCCAGGAGGGCAGGCTGGCTGGGGGTGAGGTGGGATGGGGGGAGCTGTTTTTTGTTACTGGCATCACTAAGTCTGTTTCTGTGTAAACTTGAGGGAGGGGGCTGCTGCTGAAGCCTCTTGAAGGTCTGTAGCAGGACTGAGCAAAGCGCAGGCACTTGGCAGTATCTGACCCGTGATTCTTTTTCCTACAAAGGCAGTCTACAAATACCTCCTAGAGGCCAGGGGCTGTGCTGGGCATGGACCACGCAACTGGCATAAAGCCAAGTCCACCCCCTCGAAGTCTCTGCGAAGCACCTCTGTATGCAGCGGGCACCAGGGGCTGTTAGTTTGTGTCAGCATCAAGAACCTTATCTGGGGAGACCACGCAGCACAGAGGAACAAATCTCTGCTTGATAAAATGTTGGATAAACCAATTTTTGCAAATAATGTCATCATGGAATCTATCAAACTTGGACATGAGGACACAAGTGTAGTGGTGAAAGCATTTGGAAAGCATCGCTGACCATCTAGAACTCTACTGTGAAATGGCTTCTAGATAGAGTCGGTAGCTACAAACAGATGAATACGTAGAACTTGCCACCTGCTCAGGTTGGGCCTCCTCGGAAGGGCAGCCATTGTGTTCTTCCTGAATCTCCTGCACAGCACCAGGGGCATGGACAAGAAAAGGCAAAGAGGGAGAGAGAGACACGTGCAAACAAGACAGGTGAAAGGACAGAATTTCTTTTGTAGAGACTCTCAGCATGTAAAACGCGACACACCTTTCACGGCTTTGCAACGCACACCACTTGCCCCTGGGAGTTAAGGCAATCACGTGTAGGCCATCTAGAGTGTCCACGGCCTATTGTGGCGCATCTACTCTGCCTTTGTGTTGGGGTAGAGAAATGAAAAGCAAAAAAAAAAAATCATGGCTTTCAAAGAGTGTACCATTTCCTTAAAATCAAGCAATATGCTAGCGTCGAGCAATGAAACACATAACAACATTGACAGAAAGGAGAACACCCCACAGACACCAGGCCCAGAGCAAAGTTGAGGGCAAATACAAAGCAAGGTCAGAGTCATGCAGTTTAAACACAGTGTTCCTATTCTCCAAGGAATGACTACACTGTCGGGGGGGTGGGTGGGGGTGTCAATTACCCTGGTCCTGACGAAATCCCAGATTAGATGTGTTTGTGACACACACACACATGCAACATCACATGCTTGTCATATGCGTATATGTATGTAACATATACATATGTAGCTATACCCGTTAGTTCATTTTTTTTAATGTGATTTTAAAAAAAATGTGATTTTGAATCACATTCTTTCTAATTATACCATCAATATGCTTCCATGCAACCGCTGGAAAATCACATTTGCTTATTTAAGTTTTAAAACAAATTGTTCCAATCCCTTTGAAAGCACACTGTTCCTGTATGAATTTCCACAGAATCAACTCTGTTTTGCAACTTGAAAGTTGGACATTTAGTTGAGTGGGAGGAATAAAAGAACATAAGTACTGAGGATGACACGAGGATGCAGTCCCTTTGTAAAGGTGGGTCAAATGTCTGGGGCCGAAAGTACTCAGTCAACCGAAATCTCTCTTTTATTTCATGAAACTTTGGTTCCAACGACTGCAGTTCTGAAAGAGGGCCATGGGTTTGACAGAGCCTCAGAGCTGTGGGCAGTAAGCTACCTGACCCACGTTTATGCTTTTTCTTCAGACGGAACGGAGTGTGCGGTTGGCACTGCCACCCTTCAGAGCAGTGGGGTCTTTAAATGCCACCAATCTTTGAAAGGTCTGTCTTTACAACTCCAATGGAAAAGGGAATTAGCCTTTAAGAAGAAAAATGTACAAACACAAGAAGCGAACGAGCAAAGACACACACACCCCCACAGAAAACCCCTGGCATTTCCAAGTCCATGCAAGCGTCAAACCAACAGTACTATTTAACAATGGGAAGCAAGGAAAGAAAATGAGGCCCATGCATGAAGGAAAACAAGAATGAAAGAAGATAAACCCACTAGAACAGCTTGGAGCTGACTGCGCCTGCTTACGCGTCTACTCTTTCCTGGCCTTGCACAGCACTGAAAACTCTACACTGCAAGGCACTGCAGCGGGTTGCCAACATCCCCACAGCTTTGGTTTACTAGAAAGGAGGTTAGTTCGCAACATGTGACACTCAGGTGTAATCATGCACATTACCGATCTCTGTCTTGCTTTATGAATGCTCTGAAATAAAGGGGTGGGGGAGAACAGTGAGGGAAGTTGAAGCGAAACCCCATGGGTTTTAGCAGCTACATCTGGTCTTGTAAGAACAGTCAGACGGGAGTGGTTGCGTTCAATTTATCTTCACGATGAACACTTCCGCTCTTGGGACTCGGCATGCACACACGAACAGGAGCTGAAACCTGGTACTAGGCAGGAGGGCTTCTCATTGTCCCTGGGGTGCGGGGGAGGCAGCCACACTCTTGAGCATGGATTGCACACACAATAAGCCCAGCCTTCTAAGCCCAGCGAAGACCTCCATTCCGGGCGGTCTTCCAGTAATACCACAGTCAGCACTGCACGCTGGGAGCATGTTTCCTGTCTCGCCCTCACACACACACTGGCTTTTAATGCGGGCGAAAACACTGGAACGAACAAAAGCGTTGCTAGTGAGCACTCGGAGCTTCGCCATGGCAGAGCAAGTGACCAGAGGGACCGGCCGCCACCCGCAAAGAGAACACGCAGCAAATGTGGCGGTGTTCAGGGAAGCACGGACACACACAGAAAGCCAGCCATCCTTACCCTTATGTCAGGCCTCCTGAAGACCTGTTAGTTAAAATACAGACCGTCAGCATCGGACAGGCATCACTCCTGGCCTGTGCCAGAGAAGCCCACTCCCTAAGGAATGGCACCACCCACTGAATACCAGTAGCCAGATCGATGTAAACACATTTGCCCACTGGGTCTCATTTGGCATCCCAGTCATCCTAAACATAGGCCTATTTGCAGACTTGTCTACAATGTGGACAAAGGGATTGCCAGCAGGCTGAGCCAGACCACATTACTGAATGTGCAAGTCTCTTCTGCCAAGGGCTACAGTCAGCAATGGTGAGCAGGCTATGTTTAAGTGTTCATGTGTACGTCTGTTTGGGGTCTGGAACGTACCTTCTTTATAGGAACAATGATCTCAAAAGGTGGTCATGTTCCCAAAGTACCCAGAAAAACAGCCCTTGCCCCTCCCCACTATTGTGCATGCGTGCGTGCGTGCGTGCACACCCACATCTCCCAGCTCAACTATAGCACTAATAATGGTGTCAAAAAACCTCTGTAACCACAAACATTCACCTGGCTTCTATTGAATGTGGATTTCCCTTTCTGGCTTGGGCCTCCAGACTCCAGCATGAAAAAGGGTAGGGCAGGAAGGGAAGCTGGCTGCCTGGGAGGGATGGGGCCTAGGTCAGGGGAAGACAGGTAGCCTCCCATCCTGTGAAGAGCAGGTATTCGGACAGCCCACAGTCCAGGGCAAATCTTTTGAAAAGTGAAAAGTCTAGGGCAGACTTCAAAACATCTTCTGAGGTTCTTATTCTCTTTATAGATGCCACTCGTGATGGATCAAATCATATAAACATGGAGGCTTCACAGACCATCATTCTGTCATTAGGAAAGGCTCCTGGAGACTCTTTGTTTAAGGAGTATCCTGAATTAAGTGGTGCTCCAGCTCTTAGAGAAAGAATGGAAGCCTGGGTGTCTGCTCCTAAACATAGACTACTTCGACTCAGAAGCGGAGCCCTGAGAGTCCTAAGTGTGGCAACGCGCTAGTGGACACAGATGTCAAAATTTCTCAAAGGGAATCCTTGAAAAATGTGCAGCTTAAGATTCATCAATTATACTTCAAGAAAGCTTGTATGAAAAATTAAAAAAAAAAGACTGACCACCTATTAGAATGACTAAAACAAAACAAAAAAGATGCTGATGAGGATGGGGAACAAGAGGAACTCTCTTTCGTTGCTGGTGAGATGTGAATGGTAGAGCCGCCTGGGAAGTCAGTGTGGCAGCAACTACCTCTATGATACAGCGTTTGCTCTTCCAGGTGTTTCTCCACGTGAGTTGAAAACTTACATCCACACCCAAATCCACACATACACCTTTAAGGCAACTTTGTTCATTGTTTCCCTAAGCGGGAAGCAGCCAAGATGGCCTTCAATAAGTAAACAGAAACACAACTGTGGCCCAACCAGACTCAACTCTCAGTGCCATCAAGTCAATTGTGACTCATAGGGACCTTACAGGACAGGCTCATTTCTGACTACCTGTGAGTTGCCCCTGTTGACTCTTATTCAGAATAAAAAGAACACAGCTGTCAAGCCACAAAAGGGCATGGAAGAATCTTCCATGAGCATACTGTATATACTCGTGAATAAGCCAAGTTTTTCAGCATATTTTTTAATGCAGTTTTTGTGGTAAAATTAGGTGCCTCGGCTGGTTTTCGGGTCGGCTTATACTCGAGTATATATGGTACATTGCTAAGTGAAAGAAAAAAAAAACAGCAGTTTAAAAAGGTTTCATATTGGATGATGCCCACCATATGGCATTGTAGAAGAGGCAAAATTGGTGGTCGTCAGGGGAGCGCAGGACATTTTTAGGTTCTGCATGATCCTGTGATGACTGGACTCATGACTTGATAAATTTAGCAAAACTTTTCACTGGACAACAGAGTGGTCTGCATGTAATCAATGGACTCCAGTTACTAAGAATGTATCAATGCCGGCTCGTCAATTAGAACAATCACACCACGGAAATGCAAGATATCAGTCACAGTCTATCTGGCTGGTTTCCTGTGCCTAAATCGGCTCTAAAAATGAAAGTCTGTTCAATTAAAGCATAATAAATACCGACATACATATATGGCAATTAAAAAAAAGAACCTTGAATGACAGCAAAATAGCAAGTCCCCCTGCCCCTCCCTCCAAGAGCGTCCACATCTGTGTTTTAATCTTCTGAGATAAATAAACCCTAACGGTAAATATAGCTCTGCTTCTATTTCTTTGTCAACTTCTGACTTTCTATTTTAAAAGATGAGATAATAAGCATTCCCAAGCCACACCCTTCTCCCCATTCTCTGCTGACTGCTCTTTAGTTCTTTTGTGGTTTGCCTTCAAGAGCATCATCATAAAAAAACACTCATGAAATAGATGTAGTGAATGCTTCCTTCTTATTCTGGTTGTGCTTCCCCTCTTGTCCCCCTGGTAAGTACCAGTCTTTTGCAAGAATTCGTAGGTTCCCGACCACCTCCTTTTCAGAAAAAACACACAAACAAAAAACTACTCAATGCCCCGACAATTACAATGCTTACACTATAGCCCTTGATCCAGGATACAGTGTAGGTATCTGTTTTTGTTGTCCCTCGGAATCGTTCCAGCGCCCCCTCAGATGCAAAGTATTGGCCAAGATGGGTTGACCCATTATAGATATTTCCTATAAATGGGGTCATGTCATTTTTGTCCCTTTGTGCCTGGCTTCTTTCATGGATCATCTCTGTCATAGCGTGTACCATGCCTTCCTTTCTCTTTCAGGCTGAGCAGTGGTCCCTTGGAGTTAGGTAGCCCATGGTGCATATCCAGCCATCTGCTGCTAAGCACTTAGGGTGGTTCCACCTTTCGGCTATTGTGAACAAGGCTGCAATGACTCTCGCCATGTTCCTGACCCCAACCCCAGCCTCAGCTTGGGTCCAGTCATCTCAACATCCCCCCACCCCAATTCTTTTACTGTCTTGTTTTTCTCTCATCCTCTCACTAGACAAGGAAGAGACCAAGCTCAAAGGTGTTGGTGTACCTTTGTTTGACTGAATCACTGCTTTCAATTCTTACGGGAATACACCCAGGAGTGAATTGCTGGGTCATCTGGCTCTCTACTCTTGTACTGAGTTAAAGTTTCAGGAACCTACAGAGGCAGTTCTACCCTGTCCTGTAGGGTCGCTATGAGTTGATATCAACTCGATGGCAGTAAGTGAGTGAATGAGATCGTGATTCTGTGCTCAACTTTTTAAGGAACTGCCAACTGTTTGATATAACAGCTGCACTATTTTCTTTCCCAGCAGCAGTGCATGAGGGTGCTGATAGCTTTACATCCGCATCACGATCACATTTTAAAGGAACTATCCTTTAATGCAGAACTAAGTAGTACAAGTGGGCTTTATATAGAGGTGATAAAACTCTTTGTCACTAAACTGGAACTCTAAAGTTTGAACATAGATAGGGTGACCACCTGCTTTTAAAAACATACTTTTAAAACAATTGTCATGGAGTTCTCTGTATTTGTGACATGAGAGGGCAATGGAGGCTTACCAGGATATCTCGATGCTGATACCTGAGTGTTTCTCTCTAGTTCACTTTTTACTTTTCCAGATAAAAGCCATTTCAGGCATACAGAGAGGGTTCTTTTGCTCTAGAATCTGATTCTAATGGAAGCTAGAGGAGAGAACAGTGGTTTTATGTTAACAGACACCAGAATCGGATCCTACCAAGTCCTACATCTGTAGGTAGACTTGAGAATGCATGTCTCTAACCGGGGACTAGGCAAGCACACCAGCTAAGTGGTCACAAGACTAAGCTCTGGACTCAAACCCTGGCCCAGCACTCCCTGGCAGCAGACCCTCAGATGAGTCACACAAGCTTGAGTTGGGTCTCTTATCTCCTCATCAGTGATGCTCAGTGGTCTCCCTTGCCATTGAGAGGGTTCAATCAGTTAAGGCAGGCATACTCAAACTGCGGCCCGCGGAGGACATTTATCTGGCCCACCGGGTGTTTTTGTCCCATTTGGTTTTTTTTACTTCAAAATAAGATATGTGCAGTGTACATAGGAATTTGTTCATAGTTTTTTTTAAACTATAGTCCGTCTGTCCAACGGGTCTGAAGGACAGTGAACTGGCCCCATTTAAAAAGTTTGAGGACCTCTGAGTTAAGGTGCCAGTAGCTGGGGTGGCATACTAACTCAAGTAGTAAGAGCTCTTAGTACTAATGGGCAATATTTTTTAGTTGCCTTGTCTCAGATTCCCCAACCTATGGGGGTGAGGGGGAGAGACAGTGCTTCAAAAGGTTCATGAAAAATGGAATTGAAAGAGAAGGGATTTTTTTTTCATGCAGATTGTTGGAAGCTCCCTTCACATACCACAATTCTCTTGCCTACTCCACAGACTCTCCCTCAACTCCTACGCACCCCAAGAACCTACAAGGAGATGTAAAGAAATGAATCCTCTATTTAGCAAAGCCAGCATACTGCCCAAATATTAAATAAAAATGTTTACCACACTCTAAACGGCTTTCACTAAAATCAAGAAAAGGCACTACCATTTAAAGCTGTGGAAGAATTTGGGTGGGGGGTACAACTTCCTTCCTCTGCCCTCAGGTTGTTTCAGTCATCCTGGGAGCCCTCTTCAGCCGAGATAAAGGTCTCAACCTGACTGCTGCCTCTGGACTCTTGGGGAGGATGGGTTTGTTTTTGTGGGCCCTGCCCAGGAGGCCACATTCATCCAGGGCTGCCTTTGGGTGAGTGTGTTTAGTTCTGGGGCAAAGGCTGAGACAGCTCACTGTGGATACCCACCTAAGCCACACCCGCCAACACAGCTCGTTTCAATAATAAATCCCGCCAAAATGTTGGTGCTAAATCTGTTTGGCTCCAGTGTCTTTATTCCTGATCAGCAATCCGAAAGTACTTCAGCATATTTCCAAACACAGCCTGTACTAGTCAGACACACAATACCATGGTGGTGTCATCTCCCCCTTGCAGCCACTCCTGTGCTCTTAGTATCCCAAGTCACGTCTGCCTCA